TTATTCTACGGATTATTTTATGATATTTTGTTGTCTTATTAAAATTGTTTAATCTGAAGATTTATTTTTTAAAAAAGATAAATAAAAGCTTTAATTTTATTAAAAATGAGTGAACTTAATAAGATATATACTATAATCACATTATAAGGTTGACGTAAATGGAAAATTCTGTTGATATTTATGCCAAGTGATATTTGGGATTGGCACAACAATTGATACTACTATCAATAGAGGCGTAATTATTATTATTGTTGCTAATTTTATTTTTTATTCTTTTAATTTAATGCCTACTGGTAATATTGCAGTAAGTTAAATAAAAGTTTTCGTTTTTGTCAGTTTTACTTCACAATATATTCGGATATTATTAGTAAGAAAGGAAAATTAAGCAATTTTCGATGCTTTCTGAAATTTCATTTATGTATGTTTGTTTTCACTATTTATAATAATAATAATAATAATAATAATAGTAGATCGTTTGCGGTCCAGGAGTCTATTTAATGCGTTTCCTATACCAAAAATATAAATTAAAACAGAGATCGAGAGTTATTAGAACTTTACGCAGGGGTTGAAAAATACGGTTTATGATTAATATCGGGTCATTTAAATAGAAAATTCAAAAGTTTCCAAATAAAGAATTTTATTTTTAGTTAATTCAGAACAATTAAATACAGGAATAGAAAAAAATGGTCTATCTATTATAAAAATAATCTTGAGAATACTTAGGCATCCATTAACAGCCACTTAAAACGTAATTGGTACAGCTAGAGTGACGAATAGCGAGGTCTTTTAACAACAGTGGATAATGACGTCAAAGAGTGCTAGGCAACATTCTGACGTCAAATAATTATCTTCCGGAAATATTTGGCCTCGAAATATAAAGGTTTAATAAGCATGTTGGCGCAGCACAATTTTAGAAAGAAATATTCGAATTCTAAAATATATTATTTTTAAAATCGATTTTTAAAAGATTCTAATAACTTTACTATGGAATTTGGAAGATTAAAAATCTCAACTACTCATACATTTATATATGAGCAATTTAAGCGGATGAAGGTGTAACGACAATCACGTAGAATAATATCTGAACACACCTATAATAAATAAATGCGATGTCTCATATGAATGCACCAGCAACAAAGGCTATTATTGATGACTTATTTTGAATGATGGACAGTAACTCGTTTTTAAAACATTAAATGTCAAAGAAAAATAGAAAGCAAGTAACCGACTTAAAAAAGATCGACAGATGCAGTTATTAATTACTTTAATTACGACGAAGAATAAAAAGTTCAGAAAAAAACAAGGTCTTCAAATGAAGCTGTCTTTCGCGTAAGTAGAAAAAATTTAAACGGTGTTTTAAAACATTGATTAAAATTTTAAACTTGCAGCATCACGTTGAGATATGCTTTTACATTTATGTTTATTATCCTCGTTATTTACTATATAAATTCAAAAGGTAATGATAGCATGACAGTCAACTTTTAAAAAAATAATCTTCATATTGACAAAACTAATAAATGTGTATATATTTTTATATATACTACACACACACACATATATATATATATATATAGACCTAGTTATTGTCTTTTTATAGACAATTTCCCGTGGGTTATCTGGAAAGCAATATAATTTCGGGACGAAACAACAGGAAAGAAAAGTCGTTTGGGACGATAGATTATCTTCGGGAAGTCAGTCAATCGACAATTTTCTTTTTTTAACATCCGACAAAAGCTAACACGCTTATCTTTATTACGTAAACTCGTTATACAATTATAAGTCATATGAATCCGCGGCTCGACATTTAACGTAACCTAATAACATGGAAAACGTTCATTCACAAATTAAAACTAAAAGTAGACGCATTTCTGAAGATGTAATTGAAANGTAATTAAATCATAAAATTGATCATTATTTTTTAGTAGACTATATTATTAGTAAAATATTTTAAATTACGTTAAATTATTTTAAATAAAATCAATTATCAAAATTAATAATTTGCTCCACTAAAATAGAAAAATATTGAATGATAATATTTTCTATCCCCAAAAATCATAGACATTTTGATTAATTTCGACATTATTATTATTATAATATAAACATTTAATAAATTTAAATATACTAATGAGTGAATTTTTCTTTTTAAATTTGAGAATTGCATTAATACAAAATTTAAATTATTAAAAGTAAAACTTTGTGTAAAAGTTTGCCATCAATGGAAGCCGAAATCGTCATTGCTTCAATACACTTACAAAGCATGAGATTTAAAGCTACGTAAATTACAATTTTATAATAAACTGCCGACATAAAAATTTAAAAATATATTTAGGCCTACATATTTGTAAAAGTAAGGGGTTACTTTTACAAATATAAATTACTGTAGATTACTTATAATTTATTTCTATACGTTATTGTAATTAAAAAGTATCTAACTATAGAAATTTTTACAATTTTCAATTTTTAAAAATTGAAAATTGTAAAAATTTGATAGATATATTAATTATTAAAATGTAAAAATAAAAGTTAAATATTAAAAAATGTACACAAAATGAAGAAATATTAAACTAAAACATATTTAAAGAGATTAAAATAAATTTATCGTAGTTGAAAATTATATAAAACATCAATATAATCGAGCAAAATTTAGTTTTACACGAAGCCTCAGTACTTAAAATGTAATAAAAAACGGAAAAAAACTTTCCAACTGCAAAACTCGTTATCTATTTGAAGGTGAAACACGTTAAACTATTAAGTTGAACGTGCTTCGCCTTCTTTAGAATCTAATAAAATTAGATAAAAAAACGATAATTGGAAAAATAAAGAAATTGACCTTTGCAACTTTAGAGGAATTTTCCAAATCTTCTGTCTCCCAATCGCTGCTGAGATCATCACTACTAGCTTCACCGTAATCGTCCACACCGGTCGGGTGCACCATGCTCTTCCAATATAAACCGTACCCTACGTTGGCTACCATAATGCCGACGACAACGGACTGAGGCCGCTTTCTAATTCGCTTCTATTTCCAGAACATTCAAACGTCGACTGACCGCCACAACCGAGGTCACTAACGCAAATAACGTCGTCATGCACGTCGATAAATCGAGGTTTGCAACGAAAGCATTGCCAGACAGCGGGCGTCGACGATAACACACCTTCTTTCTGCGCCTCGAAAAGCGGACGTACGGCAGGAATCGCTTCCGAATATTCCTCCAATGGGAATGGTCGTTTCGAAACGTAGCTCGACGTCACGTCATTATCGCAGGCCACTTTGTTATCCGTGCACACATCGCTTCTATTATAACCAACACAATTGTTTTCGTTAACTATTACACTCTTATCGCTCTTCCTACGGAGATAAATACAGATCTTTCTTTCGTCTATGCATTTTTAAAAGGCGTTTGATAAGAAGTGAACGATAATAATAATAATAATAATAATTGAAAATTTTAGTGTACCGTTTGACTACATTTTTTTCCAATAAAAAACAAAAATAAATTGAGAACTGCTGAATAATAATGAGAAAAAATTCATCCTTAGCTCAGTTTAACGGCAGTGTAAATGCAGGAAATAAACATTCCGAGGAGAAATTCGTTATTTATTGCTATTTGTCGATCAAATGATTGCAATATCCGTGCTGGAATCAACATTCTTCAAGCTAAACAGTAATCTAAAGTTCAAGCACCTTTCGTTTTACTCCAATATATAACAAATTTCCTTCCTTGAATTTTTGTACTTTATAAATATCGAAAATATAGTCAATCAATTGCCCTTTCTATAATGCGTAAACTAAAAAAAAAAAATAATAAAATGACAAAGGTTCTTGTCATACTATAAGTGAGCAGAATATGGGATAAGCATCTCGAGTCGCGAAGCTCCAAAACAACATCCAGGACGACAGAATAACAATTCCAACAGAAATTTTCGGATCGATTTTGGATTTTATATTAATTAATACGATTAATTATTAATAAATTATCCGAGTTTTTTTTAACGTACAGTATAATCGATTTAATTCTTTATAATAGAATCTCAAGTTTCGATCGACAGATGGCGCAGGATAGAACAACCTAAATGAATTCGTTCAAATTTAATTGTAAAACTTTTCTATAAAATTTGTCGTTTCTCAAAAACTGCCATATTCATTATAAACTAAGAAAAAATCTTATAAATTATGAAAAAGTATTTTGTTTATATTTACATTTGCTACGTTTGTTTTTTAAATGTAGTTTAAAAACTTATATTATGTTTTTTCTAAAAGATGGCGCTTCATGATTTCTTACAGACAAACAAACAAAATCTTTATCAAATGCATTTTTAACAATTATTTCTTAAAACTTTAAAGCAATGAATTAAAAACATTTATTATTATTAAAATATAAATAAACATGTAAGAATAATATGAAAATATACATAAAATTTAAAATAATAAAAAATATAAATATATATACTATACATTTACAGAAAGTATCATTAACTTGATTATTTAATAAACTTTATATAATTTATTTTAATGTATAAAATATCCATTTTTAACGATTATTTAATGTTATTTGTACAGTTTGCCATTTTATCTTACTTTATGCACTGATATTTAAAAACATTCTAAATAGTCTACATGAAGAATTTTTTTTATCAATGTAGATGAAATAAAGGAAGATAAATTTTCATAAATAGGCTATTTAATTAGTTTTTTAATTAAAATATTAAAATACAGTATCATAAGATTTTTGATATATCTTAACAGAAAATAAATAAACCGGTAGCATATTAATTTAAAAGGTAAAAATGATTTTGAAATGAGACATTGAAAATCAAATAAATTGAATTTTATACATTTTTAAAACTCTTTTCTAAAATTATTAATAAGAGTAATACAAATGAAGGAGAAAAATTAAAGACAGACTGATTAATCAGATTTTCTAACCCAAAATTTAAAATTAAGAATAATATAGTCAATATACTTGATTATTTCCTATTAATTACAATTAAATTATCCCATTTTCTCAAGTTTCAACTGCTTTTCGTCTTTTAAAATACATTTCAAGAATTCTACAAACATTTTGGGCTTTTTGAAGTCGTCGGTGATCTTATTCTACGGATTATTTTATGATATTTTGTTGTCTTATTAAAATTGTTTAATCTGAAGATTTATTTTTTAAAAAAGATAAATAAAAGCTTTAATTTTATTAAAAATGAGTGAACTTAATAAGATATATACTATAATCACATTATAAGGTTGACGTAAATGGAAAATTCTGTTGATATTTATGCCAAGTGATATTTGGGATTGGCACAACAATTGATACTACTATCAATAGAGGCGTAATTATTATTATTGTTGCTAATTTTATTTTTTATTCTTTTAATTTAATGCCTACTGGTAATATTGCAGTAAGTTAAATAAAAGTTTTCGTTTTTGTCAGTTTTACTTCACAATATATTCGGATATTATTAGTAAGAAAGGAAAATTAAGCAATTTTCGATGCTTTCTGAAATTTCATTTATGTATGTTTGTTTTCACTATTTATAATAATAATAATAATAATAAGCCTAAATGTAAAGAAAAACGAAAAATAAATGTAACAATATTTTTAATAAATTTAGAGATTTTTATTCACTACAATTGGCAAATTCATAGAGATATTAAAATATTTTTTATCATTGAAAAATATCAGAAAAAATATTGGAAACTTCTACACAGATTTCTATAAATTTTTTCCCAAATGTTATATATATATATTATTTGTGTCAAAACTTGCAGAGAAAAATTATAATAGTTCCCTTTTATGAAATCTTATTTTCCAATATTATTTCATTTTACGTTTAATGCATTAATATATTTCAATATTTAAATAAGTCTTTCACTGTCATCATTAAACACTTTATTTAAAGGTAAACAATGATGACAGAAAAAGACTTATTTATAGCGCCGACAAAATAGTGAGAAAGCAAGAAATAAAAGCTTAAAAATATACTTTAATTTCTATTTAATCTTAATATTAAATCTTATAAAATCCAAACATATAACTTTATGTTTACAGATTTTGTGGGATTTTTTTACATTAATGCTATTTATAATACACATTATATGGTCTTTATAAATTAGTAATATTTGATGTATTAAAATGTAAATTAGGTACAACTAATTCTGAAGCCGGTTTACTTTAAATCTCTACACGGAAAAATAGTTTATATACATGTTTCAGATGAAAGTAATACAGTACTATATATTCTTTGGTGTAAGGTTCTTTTTCCTTAATAATGAGATATATCTTTTAAGAATTATATATAATTATATTTATGTTTCCATTTATTTTAATATAATTAAGATTCTTAAATTTAAAAATATATTATTTCTAATAATATATTAATTAATATGTGTATATAATTAATTATCCTATATTATGCATTGTATAGAATAATATAGTTTAGAGGCACAAGTAAGGAGTTTAACTAAAATTCTATCTCTTCAAATCATCTAGAGTTGGACAGAACTTTCAATATTCAAGGTTCACGGAAACATTTTTTGAAATAATATTATAAATATTCTCGAATATTGAATGTAGGAAAGTCGCAATCGAGTTCATAAGTCGAGAGGTTTTTAGCCAAAGGGTAATTAGGAAAATGCTGGTTCAAACTCATCACCTCTTTCCAAAAGAAATGGCGAGTTTGAACCAGAAGATGGTGGTTAGGATAACCTAAGTGGAAGACGCTGAATCTGGTTAATTAACTATGAAAATACTAATTATTTCAAATGTTGTAGCTATAACTCACAAAATAGTCAATAAATGCACGAGTAATTACGATATTTCTTTCAATTTTTATTCACTTCTCTCCTGTTGCAAGGTAATAAACCCCGGCCTCGAAAAATCCCGAGTCTTCAAATAGACTCCGGAAAATAAGTACGTTTTAATAATAAACCCCCGGGATTTAATCGAGGAAATGTGGTATGTATAATAATAATAATAATAATAATAATAATAAACCCAACATAAACTTTTATAAATCGAATAATACTACGTAGATATAAATTATCAATTATTTCTATCTGTAGGTTATTCCCTATTTCAGAACAGTTTTCAATTCCTTCAGTATAGTCATGGCGACAAATTTCCTTTATGTTTTAATTATCGAATATAGTCGAAACTTGTGGTATCATAAAACAATTCAAGCTTCTGAAAAATAATCAAATTGATTTACTTTCTTGTTATTAAGTTGTAGCAGATTTTAACAGATTCTATTTGAATCACAAATATATATTAGCTAATCTTACGATTTTTATTAATTTTAATAATACAGTTGTAATTCAAATTTTTGTAGTAATATTGATCGATTTAAAAGTATACAGAATAATAAAAATATAAAATAATTTGGTAGAGATATTTAGATATATTTTTAGATACAGTTATATGCTATTGGCATGAGTCATTACTATTTTATCAATGATTTTCAACAGATCAATTTTAATCTGCGTTTTAAAGATATCGACAAGCGGCATTCTATCTATTATATTCACGTTAATCTAAAAATCACACGATAAAATTCTTTCAACAGGTACAGTACAGTACACACAACTTATGACTAATTGAATATTAAATAAAATTTATTATTCAATACTGCATATAAGTAAAATAAAAATATAAACAGCTAATTAATGAATTAAAGAATTCAGGTGTTAACAGCCATTATTTAATCATTTAAGCGGAATGTTATTTAAGAAGCCCGTGACTTTTCTGTATTTAAAACACAGTACATCTTGTTCAATTCGGAACACGAATAAAACGAAAACTTGTTTATTTTGGAAAACATGATCCTTTCTGGAAATAAAATAAGCTTTTTCTTAAATATTTTATTTTGTATAAAACCAAAAACAAAATTAAAATAAATTGTTTTAACGCCACACCATATTAATCTTATACACGAATTTTTAATTTAGTAATATGGTTTATAAGATATTTTATGTCAATTTGAATCAAATTTATAATTTAAACGCAACGGAGAGTAAAATTAATAAATACGAGACAATAATAGCAACATTGTCTGTGTATGTGTTTGTGAATTCCCTAGAACTTCTGCTATTTTTGTCCAATCCAGGTGAAATTTGATTATACAGTACTGTATTTTTTATGTTCCGACGGAAGGTATAGGCTACTTAATTTGCGGAAATATTAACTATTAGCTATAAAAAAACTAAAGGTTTTATCGAGTTCATTTCAGTAATGTCACTTACTTCACGTTGAATTTTTAAATATTTTCATAAATGAAGTAATTTTAAATTTACTTTATTACATTTAAAAAAATAGCCGCAACGTGTCGCTTCTACATCAAATGTTTTTAAAAACGTTCCATAGTGACCACGTGTGTGCAATCGGAAGTATCGATCTAACGAGACTTTTATTTAAAATATATCATAGCGCATCAATTATGTTCTAATGGGCAGTATAAGCTACCTAATTTGTAGAAATATGAGCTACTTTTCTTGTATTTCTTGAAATCTCTACTCTTCTCAATTCTTTAATCTCTACTATCTCATGGCAAGTATGCTTGACGGGGAAATTTCTAGTATAATAATAACAAATTAAATAAAAGTCTAAAATGCAGCAGTATTTAACTGTTCATACAAATGACTATTACTTCATAAATCATCGATATTTTTCTTCCAATTGCCAATACTTAATTTTTTTTTTTCTCTCGTCTGAAGTCGGCAAGTTACAAAGCACTCTCCTGATTATCTAAGAATTCCATCTACTTTTAAAATTCCAATTTAAAAATCCTTTTTCAAATGTAATTACAGTACAAGTATTTATTTACTTCGGATCTGATTGAAAGCGCTTATTTATAAAGTTGCATCTGAATTTCAGGAAATAGCAAAAAGTGATGCTGTAAAACATTGAGCAAATATGATGAATGACTTATCATTTCAATGCTCATTTCTTTAATTTAATCAGTAGTATAATCAGTGTGCTCTGGTTTGATGATAAACTTTCCGGCCAGGATGTTAATAACAAGCCGCCTACTCCGGTTTTTTTTATTTTTTGGTTTTTGCTTCAGGACTTTTTAAAACAGTCTACAGTAGTAAAAGACTGTATCACTCTGCATTTATACATTATGACAAGTTAGCTATCTTGTAATCGTCTATCACACTTTTTGTTTGTTTTTCGAAGAAAATCAAATGTATCATTTTTCCAGTGTATTTCCATACTTCGGTTTTTTAGATGCAGAATGTGTCTGTCTTGAATAATGGATATAACATCGTTTCTAAAGACTTCCTTGTCATATCGAATATCTGATTATCGTTTTACCTGAGCCGAATGTAAAGTTAAAATACAACATTTTATTATATAAGTCAGCTGTCATCTCATACACTGAAGAACGATACGTTATGTACAACAATTGGAGTTTCAAATCAGTAGGAAAAATCTCGAATTAGCAGCAGCTCAATAATGACCTTCTCATCTCTTTAATGTTGCAATTTTCCTGGTATACATCAAATAATTTTATTCGTAAGACTAAATCAATAAATCTAGATATGAATCCGGATGGATAGTAATAATAACAAACTTTCGGTTAATTTGTACATGTAATTATTAGAACTATAGTAACATTAGATCAAAACGAAATAACATAAATATTATCGCAATAGTTTTTCAACCTTTCCCTAGTCTTTTTACACCTAACTCGGCATGCTTTAAGTACGCGAAGTCTTCCTTGTACGAATATTAATTAAAGACGGATAAATACCCTATATATAAAATATAAATAAAAAATGGATACACTATAAATAAGAGAAAAATACAATGCGATAAACTTTCATTTATTGAATTCGTTATTAGTTTTTTCGTAATAATGTATCCGTGGCCTTTGCAAACAATTTAAACATACCTGTAACAGAATATATACATAACTGTAAAATAAAGCAGTTTAAATTGACTATTGCTCTAAAATGCCTTTAATGGGAAATTTGAGCTGAGTGACTAGTTTAGTTGTGCTTAATTTTCAAGCTTATTGCTGACAAGGCAACTCGCATTTTTTTTCTTACTAACATTTTCAGTGCCTTTCTTTTCTTCCTCTCTTTGATGATTTTAAAATTTTTTCCTCCTCTATTTTGATATTTGAAGTGTGCAATGCCATAATGTTGTAAATGCCGTTCTTCTCCAAATACATTTTATTGAAGAACAGAATTCTAAACGCAATGTTTTCTGCTGCAAAAACATATTGTGATGATAATGGCACTGTAAGTGGCTGTATTTTGAAGTTGAATTTATGCAAAGCAACAAGTTTAAAGAACCAAAGTACAAGTTATGGGATTTTTGGCACTTAAAAATTACAGCTTATATTTACATCACTTTGCTATTCCAGAGAATTTGTAACCTAGTGAGTTTTTTACTATTTTATTGTAAAATTGAAATGTATTCATTCACTAGAAACAATGTTTTTTACCTCTCCTGATAAATTTGTTTTTTGGCATTTAAATATTATGGCATTATACGCTTCATTTAAATTTTAAAATCTTGAGACACCTCCAACTATTGTCTGCGGCAATAGTTGCAGGTATCGCAAGATTCGTGTAGTACAGTAGTTTGAGATGTGCAATATGATCCATGGATGTGAATTAGATATTCTGTATGTCTCTAATAATTGCAATACTCACGCACATTTCTAATAATAATATTACTTTTCTTCGTTTTAATCAATTTTGATTGATTTATTAGAAAACGCACGGCACCAACATATTAAGATCCGTAATGAGCAAAGTTTTGGTCTGTCACAATTTTGCTCATAAAGGGCTAGCGTGACTTCTAATGATGTCCGTCCAATATAGATGTTAACAAATTAAGAATTTAAGCTTTTTAAAAATATTTATACATTAAAATATTTCAATATATTACTTTTTATATATCAGGCTAAGTTTATTTTTGTCATCAAATTAAATATTTGTCATTAAACAAATAAGAATGATGCATAAAATGTGGATATAAACAAAATATATATCAATAATAACCCAAATATTATTACAGTATATACTTTGAAGTATTGAATCAGTGCCCTTTAATTATTTTTAAAGGGCACTGATTCAATACTATTAGATAAAATTTATTCTGTCTGTATCATTGTTTTTAAACAAATAATTACATTAACTTGTTTAACTGCTATTTATTTATTAAGTATATTTATTTCTTTATTGGCTGTCTCTTCCTGCACGAAGATAAATGCGCATACTAATCGAAACTTTAATTTAGAGGGCAGACATCGAGTCTATGAAGCAGCGACGTTTTAAAAAAGACGAAATTGGATCCAGCTATTCATAAGGAAAAAAAAACAACAAGAAAAAGTTTGTAGAAGACAAAATTATATTTGTTTCGTCATAGCTCAATTAGTCATACAGATAAAGGAATAATTTTTTTATATTATATTTTAACTTGAAAATCATTTTTCCAATTATTTTAAATCATTTATTTTTAAAAAAAGGACATTAAATTTATTTAGAATAAATATCATAAAAAATGAAAGCTAAAAATCAAATAAACGTTTACTGTATTCTGATACTGTCAGGAAAATTTAATGTATAAAAAGTCGCCATATATTAACTTTTTTAAGTTAAAAATCTGTTTGTATCCATGATAATGATTCAATTTTTTCATGTTGTAGTCGAAAGCTATTATTGTTTGTGTAAGTGTATCATAATTATTAAACAGGAAACAATTACTTAACATCTATCATAGTTATATATATGTAGTTTTCATGTCAATTATAATTTTAAATAATTTAGAAATTGTAGTGGAATTGATTTCTTGCCAAATTCTAAAATACCACGAATGAAGGTGAAATTTTTTCCAATTATTAAACCCGACATTTTTTAAAATTTATATGAATTGTATAATAAATGATTGTATCTCTGTTTTCACACGATTTTATACTTAAAAAAAAATTATAAAGCGAAAATGCATTGGGATATCTTGAAAATAATTAATCACAGCAAATAGTAGTTTATAATTTAGATAACAGATGGCAATACAAATAGCTATATTTCTATACGGTTAGTCATAAAATGCTAGTGCCAAAATATTGTTTTAATGATGTCGAATATTTACTGATTTGTAATAAATTTCAAATTTCTTCCTAATCATAGCAATGTTATAAATATAACATTGTTTGTTTTATTTTATTTATTTTTTTTAAGATTTAGATATAAGAAACGTGTGAATATTTATTGTGATTATTAGTCAGTCGCTCAATTAAATTGAATTCAGTTTTAATATTTTAAAGATCTAAACACGTTTTTACTTTGTATTATAAATAAATGTTGATCTCTAGAATTATTCTGAAAATGTCAAGATATTCATTAAAGACGCATGGACGGAAGGCCAAAGAAAAAAGGTTATATAACAATATAAATTTTTTAATCATCAAAATTTAGTATAATTAAATCTGTTTACTTGATTGACGGAAAATCCTATAATTTTCCTCATTCAATAATAAAAATAAGAAGAAAATATTTAAAATGGATATTTTATGAATTTAAACTTCAAACTATTGTAAGTTTTGTAGGGATAAAAATATTAGGCATATTCTTCATTATTATTATTATTATTATTTTATTTATTTCAAGAAATTCTATTTTATTTATAATATCAATAGAATAAAAAATTAACTACATGACACTTTGAACAATATACGTAAGTTCGAATTTCATTACAATTTCTCGCCTATAAAATTAAGCTTTTATATAAAAACCACACGAAAATAAAGTAAAGAAGCAAAACTGGTTGATTTCTTAAAATAAAAATTATATATTCTGAGTTATATGGATGTCTCAATTTTATCCAAATCAGACTTACTGTACAATGAGTTGAGCCATTGTTAATTAAGAGAGAATGTTCCAAATATTATTTATGATAAAAATTGACGATAATCCAAATCAAATTCGAATTTAATTCTCACAGCAGCAGAATTAATACGAAATTAATATGAAATTATACTGTTGATCGTAACGAAATATTTTTCTATGAATTAGTCGTAGAAAGTTGTGAATAATTCTTTTATTCGTCTAAGCTAAACAATCCCAACAGAATTTTATTATTGGAATAGTAATCGCTTGATAAGATTTTTAAATTTAGAAAATTTATTGATATCACTCATTACAGCAATTATATTTAAATGAGAATTGAAAAGAAATTAAATATGGAAGGTCAATTAAGAAGTAACTGTTAAAATAAAAGATCCATTCACTAGATTGTATAAGCATGTCCTACTTCTCTTGAGTTAGATTAGTACTATGCAATATAGGCCTATATATATTGGTATAAATATTTTTGTTGTACTACTGAGTTTTTGCTATAAAACTCAGATATTTGAATAAATATAAAATAATGAATATTCCCAAATATATTGTGTTTAGTTGTCCGAGTACTCACTCACTAAAAAACTGTTTAATTTTTTATCATCGAATTTATTTGATTATTGTCAATAAGTATTATCAAAAACATAGTTTACATCAATCGATAAAATATCAAGATTCAAATAATTTGTGACAAGAATTATCTCAGTTTCGGGATAAGAACGAATTTCTGATGAGAAATTATCATCTGCCCGANAATAGAATAAAAAATTAACTACATGACACTTTGAACAATATACGTAAGTTCGAATTTCATTACAATTTCTCGCCTATAAAATTAAGCTTTTATATAAGAACCACACGAAAATAAAGTAAAGAAGCAAAACTGGTTGATTTCTTAAAATAAAAATTATATATTCTGAGTTATATGGATGTCTCAATTTTATCCAAATCAGACTTACTGTACAATGAGTTGAGCCATTGTTAATTAAGAGAGAATGTTCCAAATATTATTTATGATAAAAATTGACGATAATCCAAATCAAATTCGAATTTAATTCTCACAGCAGCAGAATTAATACGAAATTAATATGAAATTATACTGTTGATCGTAACGAAATATTTTTCTATGAATTAGTCGTAGAAAGTTGTGAATAATTCTTTTATTCGTCTAAGCTAAACAATCCCAACAGAATTTTATTATTGGAATAGTAATCGCTTGATAAGATTTTTAAATTTAGAAAATTTATTGATATCACTCATTACAGCAATTATATTTAAATGAGAATTGAAAAGAAATTAAATATGGAAGGTCAATTAAGAAGTAACTGTTAAAATAAAAGATCCATTCACTAGATTGTATAAGCATGTCCTACTTCTCTTGAGTTAGATTAGTACTATGCAATATAGGCCTATATATATTGGTATAAATATTTTTGTTGTACTACTGAGTTTTTGCTATAAAACTCAGATATTTGAATAAATATAAAATAATGAATATTCCCAAATATATTGTGTTTAGTTGTCCGAGTACTCACTCACTAAAAAACTGTTTAATTTTTTATCATCGAATTTATTTGATTATTGTCAATAAGTATTATCAAAAACATAGTTTACATCAATCGATAAAATATCAAGATTCAAATAATTTGTGACAAGAATTATCTCAGTTTCGGGATAAGAACGAATTTCTGATGAGAAATTATCATCTGCCCGAAAAATAAATATTCCATATCTGATGTATTCCTTTTATCTAAAGTAATTGTAAATAGATCAGCTGTCAGAGCGACAAATTTCTTAATACGCTTTGGAATATTTCATTGTCAAATGACTTATTCACATTAATTATTAATTACAATCTTTTCAATTATTAAAGTAAAAATTAAATTTGATTCCGTTCATTTTTTGTATAAAACATATTATTAATTTATAGATTTTTAAACAGGAATTAGTTTCTGGTTAAACTTGACATTGACTAAAGAATTAGGATGAAGAATTTTAAAGTATTTTCTATATTTGACATAGAAGTATAGGCCTATATACTATTGTATTAAAAATCTTTCTACGGTTTTAAAATCTTGTAATTGAAAATAACATATTAAAGTATAATTAGAAAATAAATTATTTTTTTTAAGAATTGTCTAGTTTCGTTAAAATACAGTATAGAATTTGATACTAGAAAGTTCAGAAACATTAAACTTTATATGTTTCTGACTTTACTAATATAATATCTATTAAAATAAAATATTGTTTTTCTTTTTCAAATTTTTACTTTGAAATTTAATATGAAATTTTTTTAAGTCAAGAAATAAAACATGTAGAATGTAAAATATTTTATATTTGGTACAATAAAATATGGTATGTGGTATAATAAAATGAAATATAAAAATTATTTATATATTTTATCATCTATAAAATTCAGTAATTACTGTTTTCCTTTTACAATTCTTTTTATTGTTTTCTAGACGATTGAGTTACAAATAATAAATTTATAAAAAGAAAACAGAAAAATTTACAATAATTTGGGTAAATTCTAATTTATTGTATAAATACAACAGACACAAAACACTTGGATTTTTCTAAATATCTATACTCGATATAGGCCTACAGAAGTGTCAAAAAGAGAAAGATCATTCTATAACTTTCAAATATTATTTTTTATTATTTATTATTTTTCTATATCTAAACCAGTTTGTTTATGTTTTGAAAATCTATTTTTGAAAATGTATTCTTCTAAATAATATCAGATTTAGCTTTTCATAGGCTTTTATTCTAATTAATTCTAATTCAACATAATGTTTGGCACAACACAAAACAAAATTGCGTTCGATCTCAAACTTTAATCGATCGATTTTGATTAAACTTTGCCATTTTCCATTTAATTGCGATGAGGAATCCAAAATATTAATAAAAAATGGGGTCCATGACTTCGTTTTCGATTTACAGCGGAGTCAAAATGACAATATCTGTGCTCCCTGACGCAATTGAGCGCGCCTAACGGAATTTAGGAAAGAAAACTAAAAAACCAGCATTGCGTACGCCTAACAGAAAATAGGAGCGAAAACGAATAAAACACAAGAACAAAGCAGTCGATGGCGATTGCTTTGTTATTGTAGAAAATTAATAAAAGGCAGGGTCAGAAGGGGTACCTGCCCAAGACGCCAAGATGATGGGGTGCCAAAATTCAAAATTCTTACATAGACGAACTAATAAATTAATAGAAAACTGTTACACACGAATATGAAAAATTATGTTATGATATATAATAATAATACAGTCGATCCTCCTATAACACTGTTGATAATTCCGTTTTATATGAATTCCATGTTGTATGAGTTACTTAGATTTTACAAATACGTGAGCCGTTCACAGCCCGGCACACGTATTTGTAAAATCTAAGTAACTCATACAACATGGAATTCATATAAAACGGAATTATCAACAGTGTTATAGGAGGATCGACTGTATTATTATTATTATATATCATAACATAATTTTTCATATTCGTGTGTAACAGTTTTCTATTAATTTATTAGTTCGTCTATGTAAGAATTTTGAATTTTGGCACCCCANAAATAGTGATTAGTGTTGCGCCAAGGTGTCTTGGAGAAGTTAGTACCAGAGTGGTTCCCCGTTGCTCTGGATAGCGGTGTTACGCGGGGGAATTAATGCCTTCCGGGAGGTCTTTGAAGGGGAACTGGCCCCTATTCAGACGTT